ACCCGGCGCGATGACGCAGGTGCGCCGCACGTGACGGCGGAATGAGTTGCCAGGCGCGCTGACGAGGCACAAGGGCTCCTCCGATTGGTGGTGAGGAAGTGCGCCCGCTATTGGCCACTTTGGGGAGGAGTCACGTGAGGGAAGATGGCGGCTTTTGCCCCTGAGAGAGGGCGCGCGAAGGATTCTGGGGGGGGTGCAGCCGGTGTTGGGACTGCTTGCCTGAAGGTGGGATTGGCCTGCAGCAGGGGCCTGCTGTGTGCAGCGCCAAGCACTTGCGGGGGTAGGGAGCGGGGGCAGGGGCAGGTGGCAGGGACCGGCTGGCGTTGGGCTGGGCTGCGGCCACTTTCCACACTGTCTTCATTGCAAAGAACAGTTCTTACAACTCTTATATGTTGGAAGGATAAATAATAAAATAATAATTTGTTTATTTTAATAATGCAATATTTATTCATTTTAATGATATAATATTCATTTATTTTATTAATAAACCATTTATTTTAATAATACAGTATCCATTCATTTTATTAATAAACCATTTATTTATTTTAATAATACAATATTTATTTACTTTAATAATAAATCATTTGCTTACTTTAATTATACAATATTTATTTACTTTAATAGTACAATATTCATTTTATTAATCATGTATTCTTTTAATAATACAATATTTACTTTAATAAATTATTTACTTTAATAATATATATTTATTGTAATCACAATTTATTTGTTTCTTTTAATAATAATAAAATATATTTGTTAATATAAAATAATAAATAACCTTCCCTGCCCACATCCTTCGACTGACACGGCTACAAGCAACACCCCCAACCCGCGAACAATGCACACGTGGTCTCCTGTGTCGCTTGAGGGAAAGGCAGACGTGAGATCTTCTTTTAGACCAACTAAATTGCTGGGGATAATTGTTCTTCGCAAGCTTTCAGACCCAAACGCCCCTCTTCAGGCACGGGGAGAGTCTGCTGGTGTTTTGTGTTCTCTTGGACCCTTCCATAAAGGAGAGACACTGCTGTGTAAGGGCAGCTGAATCGAGCCCGAGTGCTGTTTATCCTGCCCGAGTACTTCCTTGTCGCTCTCCCCTGTTGTTGGGTGCTGGGTCAGTGTTTAAACCCCATGTCTGCCCACCGTAGCACTGAAAAGAAGCTAAGTGTGCTACAGATTGCTGTGGCTTGGGACTGAATTCTTAATGACAATTATAAGTTTTGGTGCCAAATGCTGTTTGCTTTGGCCTTCGGAACTGTCTGCGTTAATGAGTAGCTTTGTTTGGAAGATATTTGCATAAAACTATTGTTTTTATGTCATTGCCACAGATAGAGACCCTGCGCTAGACAAGTGAGAGACAGGACCAAGCAAATTAATTCCTCTAGCAGCCAAGTTGAATGCCTTGCCAAGAAGCGTGGCATACTCCCATCAGGAATCCATTCCAGCGTGCAGGGCAGTACAGCACCCTGTGGATACGGTTGCACAGGTGGGGTTCTGAAGGCTAATCCTAACCAACCTTGGCAAAGACACATCCATACAGACTATATCTTGGTGTCCAGGAAACTAGCCTTTTTCCTCCATGCCCTAATGACTGCACCTATTTGCTCAGGGGCTATCCCTTCCATTTATAAAAGGCAGGCATGTAAGATTCAAAGTTAAAATTGAGACTCTTGGAAAATAACCTTTGCCACTGAATGAGCCTCTTCAGTTGCTCCTGCTTTTCCCTTTGGAGGAGGAGTAGCTTTTTTCTCTCCCCAGCTGAACTGCTCTCTTGCCTTTATCCCAATGGACTAGTGACAACAGAAGCAAGTGCTTGTATGCTTGACTCAGACTCAGCTTTATTAAGGATTCTGGCTAAAAGCCATGCTCCCAAAAACAATATAACAGACATAAAACCATAATATAAATTTAAAATTAACAAAAATACAAATATAACAATAAAATAGGACCAACCAATATCAAAGCATTGTTCCTACTCCTAAAAGTAACATAATCAAATACAAATATGGTGATAAATCATAAACCTATAAAAATTTTGTGCATAGGTCCACGATTGACACAGTAAAAAACACATATAGTAATAAAATTTATCAGTCATATCAACAGTAAAGGATGTTTAGCTCTGATCACTTCATGTATGTTTGACTACTGTTGTGCATTACCCCTTTATCAAGGTTGCTGCCCACGTGAACTTTGGGCTCCTACTTCAGGGAACATTGTGTTTAGGCCATTCCTGCATTAAATGCTAGTGTAAAAATACGCAGGGTTGTTGGTTGTAGCTGTGTTGGTCTAAGGACATATGCAGGCAAGGTTCTTTGGGTAGATGTGATATCTTTTATTACACCAGCTAAATAGTTGGAAAAAAGTTCTTTGCAAGCTTGAAGGGTGTTTGTGCCAGAAAGCTTACAAAGAACTTTTTTCCATCTATTTAGTTGGTCTAATAAAAGATATCACATCTACCCAAAGAACCTTGCCAATGTAAAAATATGATAGTTGTCTATTACTGTGCTTTTGTATTGCAGCAGCAAGTCAAAGTCCCAGCTAAGAACTAGTGTCCCACTGTGTTGGGTGCAATGCAAAGAGAACAAAGACAGTCACAGCCCCAGAGACCTTACAATCCAAGTATAAGAAAAGAGAGAACAGATGGGTGGAGCACAAAGAAACTGTGGGCAGTATGAAATGCGCTGGCCTGAGCACAATAGCCTGCTTTTAAGAGCTCAGCAGCTCATTCAAATCTGACAGAGAGAATAGGCTTCCGTGCTTCATGCAATATGAGGCATGTTCACTTTTTGTGTTAGGGCCCCTTCATACCAACAGAGACAAAGCAGCCGGAGCATCCCTAGAAAATATTCCTGGGTGCAGGGGTTTCCTGGAAGGGAGTTTTCCAACAGGTTCAGAATCAGTGCTGCTATTTCCCTCCACATAGGATCCCACAGTACAGAGGGTGTCCTAGGAGTCAGAGAGGCTCCATACAGTTCTTTCCCAGCTGTTGCAGAAACCCAAAGGAACTTTTTAATAGCCAGATGATGAATTTGGACAGCCCTTAGGCTGTGCTTACCTGATTGGGATCTAGGCTGGCCACTGGTTGCTCTGAATACGAAGAGTCCTTTTGTTTAGTCCTGTATCTATGCAGGGATGTCTCAGGGGCATGTGGTGTTAATAAAGATCTTTCAGCACTATTACCATACTTCTGAGCTTGTTAAAACTGTCCCCTATTCTACATAGACTTTGTTCTTTGAACTATATTCCTCTTCCTCCTCCATAAGATGCAATAAAACTGTCAAAAGAAAAAGGATCTCCTGTTGTCCTTTCTGCAGTTTCTCTTCTTTGTATTCCACTGTGAAATGCTACGTATAACTTTGCTGCCTTTCTCCAATGTCTAATGATTATTAGTGGACAAGAGGGGAAATGTGGTTTTTCATTTCCTAAATATACTTGGCCATAACAATTTCCCTGAAAGTCATTAATGTCCTCCAGGTCAGAGATCCTGCATTATGATGAAAGTTAAAACCTCCTTCTGGGTGGCCCTGACCTTTTTATTTGAACACACATGATGGCATGAACTATCAACCTACTAGAAAAGAGTTAAAGGTGGCCTGCAGAAGAAAGCAAAAATGTTGTGGTTTTTTTTCTCAGAGGAGTGGTTTCTTTTCATCTAAATATTTCATCTGTTTGTTTTCTTTACACTGGAAATCCAGGTGTACTCTGCCGGGGAAGATGTGGTGGGTGATTGCAGGGCTGCTCAGATGATGGTATCACAGGAATGTAGTGAGTAAAGTATGACTTTGACTTTATCCTTGCTGCTTGCAATTTTGTTTGCTTTTGTTCCCTCCTGTTTAGCTGAAATGCTTAAGAGGTGGGGAAACCCTCTCTTTCTGATGTGTTTGGTTCTCTTACCCTTCTGTTAAGGCTGAGAATGAGCTCTCAATGTCATTAAGATGGAAGACTCAACTTGACAGCCCTGAGGAGAATAGAAAGGAGTAGGGAGAGGAGTATATGTTCAAACCTGATTTACCTTTCATAGAGAAGGAAAAAAAAAGGGAGGGGAAGGGTTGCAGACCCCTTTAAGAAGGAAAGCCTACTACCTCTTCCATGCTGCTCCCTCTTGCAATACCTGGTAGCCTGTAACATGGGCGGTCATCTCAGCTTTCTCCCTACCCTTTCCCCAAGCCTCCATCCTTATCCTTACAGATTTCCTTGCCCTCCTGCTGAGATCCTACGGAGGGGAAACATGAAAGAGCTAAACACTCTTCAAGAGCAGGGCAGGGCAGAGCAGGGTCTGTCCTGTTTGCCAGACAGGATGAAACCTGTGCACTCTTCACAGTCTATTTTCATTAAATAATATTCAACCTCTTGTTATATGTTGGATATTGAATGCAATGCTTACATTTTCACAAGAGCAAGATTACAACTCAGAATATAGACCTAGAGATATTACTGAACCTATACACTTCATTCTCACACACAACAACTTCAGTTTCAATAACCACCACTTCCTCCAGGCAACGGGCACAGCTGTAGGCACCAACATGGCCCCACAATATGTCAACCTTTTTACGGCCCACCTGGAAGAAGAATTCCTCGAGAACTGCACGATCAAACCCATGCTATACCTAAGATATATAGATGATATCTTCATCATTTGGAGCAAAAACCTGCAGTCTCTGATTGATTTATATCACAAATTCAATAACCATCACCGCTCCATCAAACTATCTCTTGAATACTCCAGCACCAACATTTCCTTTTTAGACACCATGATCAATTTCCAAAATGGTAAAATACAAACCACCATATACAAGAAACCCATGGATCAACATACATATATATCTACACAGAACCAACAACCACCCTAAACACACCAAGAAAGCTGTAATATACAGCCAAGCCCTCCAATACCACCGATGCACTGAGAAGAATACCCGCAATCATCATCTCGCCAATCTCAAAAGGGCTTTCACCCAACAAGGACACTCCTCCAGAGAGGTAGATCATACTTTTGAAAGAGCCACCGGGATACCTTTGTGAAGAATTGCTGCAGCATAAAAAAGAAAATCCCCATGAATCACATACACCATTGGTTATGCCATACCATCCTTCCCTAGAACCTATATGGAAAATTCTTAAACAACTGCAACTAGAAGAAAACCCAATTCTCAAATAGATCTTTCCACAACCACCCATCCCTGCCTTTAAACAAGCACTGAACCTCGCCAACCTCATAACCAGAAGCAAAGTTCTTACAACTCAAAACACACCAAATGGCTCCAGACTATGCCAGGACAAGAAATGTAAAACCTACCAACACATCACCACTCCCACAATAACTACACCTCACAACAGACCCATCACCATTCCTGGATCTTACACCTGCACCTCCAGAAATGTAATATATCTCGTCCAGTGCACTAAATGCCATAATGGAAAATATGTAGGAGAAACCAAACAGCAACTGAGTACCAGAATGAAAGCACACTGAAAATCTGTCAAAGACAAGATTACCTGTGGGTGCACATTTTTCACAAGACAACCACTCTCTCTCCAATCACCCAGTTCTGATCCTCAGAGGGAATTTACAAAACACCTTTCATAGACAAATCTGTGAACTTCACTTCATAAATCTACTGGATACCAAAAATCATGGACTAAAGATAGACATTGGCTTTATGGCACATTATAACCTGCCTGCCATCTGATAACCCCAGGTAACCTGTCTGCATTTTACCAGCTACGTGGTATCACCAGGTCTACATTCCTTCTTCTCCCCCCTGTCTCTCACCTACTTTCTCCCATTCCCTCAGAACCTCACTGCCATGCATTTGCATTTTCACAAAACTGCATTTTGCTTATTGGCTTCTATTCTACCCAAGACAGCACACAAACACCAACAGACTGTCCCTGTGCCTGAAGAAGGGTGTTTGTGCCCCACAGCTTGCAGATAACAATTTTTCCAATTATGTAGTTGGTTTAATAAAAGATATCGCATCTACCCAACGAACCTTGTCTATATTTTTACAATGTTTTCTTCTCTTGCAACACAGTCTTCTTCTTTCTTTTTTTTTGCTCTGTGCAGTTTTTTCTTCATACGCTAGATCTAACACAAATATGTATTTAAAATGACTCATTCCAGAGAAAGAACTCTGTGACCCTGTGATCCTGGTTTTGTGACACTTTCTCTTCCTAACTCTGGAGGTAGAATTGGCACTGGTCACAAAGTGATTTTGCAGACTTTAAGTAGCCGTACTTAGTTCAGAGCTTAGATGGCCCCCTCTGCAGCATTCTCTGAGCATCTTGCATATGTTATATAAATACCTGCAACATGGAGAGTTGTTATGATATCCAAATTTTAGAGGTGCAGAATGTAGACACAGAGACCTGACTACTCCAACAAGCTTTGTGGTTATAATGTCTCTGCCAGTTAAGCTAGTAATATCAGCAGAGATGATATTATTGTGGATGGGGCTCAATTGCTTGGTGTAGACGATAGGAGATGTTATGAATGTGAATGAACTTACAGACTTAATAGCCAATGCTTTTGATGCCTTGTCTAGAGTCAAATGCCAGTGAAAGTTCAGGAGATGAGTGAAAGGGAGTAATCTCTTTATGCTTTGTAAATATCTACTTACCTCCACTGACTAACATTTCAAATAAACTGTTAACAAAAACTTTATCACCTCTGCTTACTTACAATCTGGGATCTGCAGTTCCCACAAATCCTCTTACAAAGCCAAGGGAGAGCAAGTTGGCATTCTCTGGGTACCTGAGATACAGGAGGCAGAACCCCCTTCCAAGCTATACTTACACAGGAAACCCTCGCTATTCATGGGTTCGGCATTCATGGTTTCAAATATTTGTGAATTCCAAACCTGCATCTTAAATATACTTACAGGAGCTCCTTGGGAGCTCTGCGCTTGCTGCCGCCTGACTCCCACCAACGCCAGCACAGCTGTGCCCCCCCCCCAGCCACCAGGGGCACTGTGTTCATGACGTTCACGAACACAGTGCTGTATTCACAGATTTTACCATTCACGGGGATCTCAAGAACATATCCCCCGCGAATGGTGAGGGTCACCTTTATCTCGAAAAAGGAAAAACCCGGTTAAAAACAAGCTCTCTGCAGGTCACCTTGAAGAAATGATGGGCCTGGTTTTCTCCTGCTATGCACCTTATGCAGTTGTTTGCAGCTATGCAGGGTGAGTTAAAGGTGGATGTAAAATGCTATCGATTCTGAGTTAGTAATACAGTGTACTACTGGTGGTAGCACTGTATGAGCACCACCCAGCCTGAGCCTGCACTGAGAACTGAGCTGCTGGATCCCTGCTGGCTTCAGTGGAGATCTGCTTGCACAGGGGAGTATCTCCCTGGGTCTGACAGCAGGATCAGGTCCTCAGTGACAGCATGAAGTGCAAAGCCGTGGAACATTGGGCCTCCTGGCACTAGAACAGGACACTGTTCCAAGAGCCCCCTGCTGCTAGATAAATGCTTATTTTGATGCAGGAAGCATTGATCTTGTGACAGGATCCCATTCCAATTACTGCTTTGATGACTGCAAATAACATAATGATTCCAAATACTAATTTACTTTGGTTGCTGGCTTTGCATGGATTTGGGTGGTGCAGAGTAACAGCTGCTTGCTCTGACCTTATTGACTGACAACATTTCAAATGACTTGGGGAACATGCCTGACAAACCCCAAAGCTTTTGCAGAGCTCTGTGGATGCCAGTGAATCTCTATAGACAAGTGTCCATCCATGTAGAGCAACATGCAGAGTTGGGGCCTTTGACTTGCATGCCAGTTCTGTTGCTCTCCCATGCTACATTTCACATCCCATTCAAACCACATTGATTTTAAATGAATACTTTTTGCTTGTTTCTTTTCTTTCACTAAGCCATTCCCAGCAACCTACCTGACACAGGCTTTTGATCACAACTTGCTGTTTCCTCCTGCCACCCCTTTGGTATTCTTTTGATGTCTTATTTTTAAATTGTGCATGCTTTGGAAGAGGCTGTTGCTCTCTGCAATACGGAATTTTTTATGCCTCCCTGATGACTGTAATGTCTGAATTCTGCCCAAGTGTTCATGAAGTGACATGCCATGTCACATGTGGCTCATTCCCCTTCCTGCCTCTCCCAGGCGTGAATTAGGCATGCACGGTCATGTTAGATGTTTTGTTCCGTGGTAGTTTTCCATCTTTAAATATCCACATAGTTCTGCGTGTGTTAGAGAAATTGAGTTGGAGAAGTGTCTGGCACTTGGAGCAGAAAGGGATGAAAGTTGCAAAGGTCTCTTAGCTTGCAGGGGGAATGATAGTCTTGGATCATCTCCCAGGAAAGCACAGATGAGCTTTGTCCACATCATACAGACTTCCACTGGGCCTCAGGAGGAGAGACTTCAACTGTGCTCTTCATCTGCGAGCTTTAGCCTCTAGCAAATATACAGAACACAGTGCTCTAAAGATAAGGACCAGCCCTTGGATCTTGGCTTGCTGTTCTTGGAGAAGCCAGCATAGAGAGTGGAGGGATGGGAATTGCTAAAGAATTATGGTACAGCAATCTCTATTAGCTGGACTTTCCTAGGTTGATTGCTATGTGCCCAGCTGCGCATGTTATGTGTTTCTTTGTTCCTTGATTGTACAGCCCCAGACACAGTTGAGTCCAAGTCTGTGACTGGGGTTTCTATGAAATATAAATAAATAATCTCAGTTTAGAAAAAGCTTGCAATTACCTCCAGTTTCTATACTTTTAGAGTCAATGGCCTTTCAGTATGTGGTTAGTGTGAGTTCCTGACTTCCAGTATCCCTAGCAGTTGCATGGCAAAGGAAACTGCCATGTCAAGCAGAACTAGTCTAGATCTGTCACACAGTCCCCTTTCTCCATGCACATACAATAGGGGGTTTATCTGGCAATGACAGGAGTTTGCCTTGTGTTCTGAGAAGCACTAGCACCAAAAGGATGCTAATTGCCCCCTATTTATGTCAGGCTGCCTGGTTTGAGAGGTAGAGGGGGCAGGCTGGATTTGTATCAATTTTTCTGTCCTTCACCTGTTCCAGAAGAAAAGATGGGCATTTCAGTGTCCAGTCCAGCACTGTTCACCAGTAGTAAACATGCTTTTTT